GAGCAGAGGTCAGCCTCAGGATAGTGTTCCTTGGGTGCCTTCTGCCTTGTTTTTTGAGACAGGGTCTCTCATTGTCCAGAATCTTGCTGAGTAGGCTAGGTTGTAAAACAATCCATCATCATTGGTGTGTGTGCATGTTCTTGTGAGTGTACACATGTGTATGCATGGAGTGGTGAGCAGAAGTCAGCCTCAGGATAGTGTTCCTTGGGTGCCTTCTGCCTTGTTTTTTGAGACAGGGTCTCTCATTGTCCAGAATCTTGCTGAGTAGGCTAGGTTGACTGGCCAACAAGTCCAACAGATGTTCCTGTCTCCATCTCCCCAGGGCTGGGATTACAAGCATACACCACACCCAGCTTTTTATGTGGGTACCAACTGAGCCATCTCCACAATGTCTCCATCATCATTTTTATTTATATGTTTGAATGAGTAGAGAAGATTACATCATTCATATTCACTTATTGGCTATTTTTCCTTTTGTTTCTTTTTTTGGTGGTACTTGGGATTGAACCCAGGGCCTCCTGCATGATGCAAACCCTCTGTTGCCATGCCATATCCCCAGCCTCACTTGTTGGCTATTTGTTATTATTGTATGATCTCCTTGTTGATATCTCTTGACCACATTTTTACTTGATCCTTTTTTCTTCCCAAATTGTAAGAATTATTTATATAAGATTAGCTCTTTGTGATTGAGGCTAATATATGTTCTTTGCTTTCAGTCTTGTTTATGGCCAAAAATTCGAATTTGTGTTTATTTTTGCATTGAAAAAAATACATTCTGAACTCCAAACAACTGACTTGTAAATGGGCTTTTAAAATATGTATTTCCAAATATATACATACAATCTTTTTCCAGTTACTTTATCATATATCTTGATAATGTTTCTGCATGAAGGCAGAGGTCACATTTTTTAATCTCTCATAGCAACCAGCATGTAGCCCAGACACAGAGGAGTTCAAAAATGCTGCTTGGGATGAAACGATATTGTGTCTGGGGATTCACTTTGAAGCAGTTCCATTTGGGATGGGAAATGCAATGGGACAAAGATGAAACAGAATTGGCCACATGTCAGTCACTGTGGAAACTGGTGATGGGTACAGGGAGTTGATTATACTATTATGCCTACTTTTTCTACTTTTTAAAAACTTCCATAATCAAAGGGTGTTTTTAATGTGTGTTTAATTGATTGGACAACAAGAGAGGGAACTTCTGGGATAACAATGGTGGTGAAAATGAAGTACATATGCATCGAGGCCATTTCCACAGCACAAAAATATTACAAGCCCTGAAGTTAAACAGCTTGAATACAAACCATTTCTAGCACATGACCTCAAGCCACTATTCATCCTCCCTGAAACTCGGTTTTACTTTTAAATAAGAGAATTAACAACTACCTCAAAAAGGTTACAATGAACATAAGTGGGTGTAAAACTCCATGGCTGGCACCTGGCAGCACTCAATAGTCAGCGTCATTATCATTCAGTGATGCACACGCCAGCACTTCCTGATGGTGGCAACCCAACACCCCATCCTCCACAGCTGAGACTTCAGCTAAACAGCTCGGGCACCAGACAAACACTTGGCAGGGCCCTTGGTAGAACAGATGTCAGGAATTGTACTCCTGATAGCCAGAAGAGAAAACTGATATGACCACAGCAAAGGACAAAGCCTGGAGTCCCTGACTTTTTCCAACACGTCACCAAAGAACTGAAACTCATATTCCAATGACGCATTCAAGAAACCAGAGAGAAAGCCCTTCCAACAGAGGTTTGAAATTTTGAACAAATATTGACATCACCCCAGGAAATAGGGAGACACAAAAAAAACCCATGTCTGAGATGGTTCAGTTGGTAAAAGTGCTTGTCTTGCATGCATAAGGACCTAAATTCAATCCCCAGAATCCATGTAAAAAAGCTGGGCATAGTAGTATGCGCTTCTGATCTGAGTCAGAAAGGCAGAGACAAGCGGATCCCTGGGGCTCACTGGCCAGCCAGCCTACCCTAATTGGTGAGCTTCAGGCCAATGAGAGACTCTGCCTCAAAAAACAAGGTGAACTGTTCCTGAGGAACAGTACCCAAGGGTATCTCTAGAATGCACACACACATGAGTACGCACATGTACACACACAAATAAAAATACCTGTGACTAGATGCCTGTCTCATAATTTGATTTGATTGACTTAGGCACTGGCCTAAGTTTTGAGGCTTCAAAAAGCGATGTACTACAGCCCCAGTGTCACTGCTGTAGAAGGAAGGTGAGCCACTCCTATAAGTTTGGATACAACAAGGAGAAGACAAGGGGAAACAAAGGAAGAGAGAAAAGCCACAGAGTCCCCACACGGGCCCCATGAAAGCTAACTCAATCATGTGGCATCCAGCTGTGCCCCATGCCAGATAAAGCAGTAGAGCCCCATCATTCTCTCCATGTACCTCAGGAGAGTGAGATGTGTAATAATTCCTGGACTAAGGCATGCTACTAACACCAGGATGCATCCATGTCAATATTCAAGGAATGTTAGCATGATGGAGCTTGTCTCTGGGCTTTGGTCTTAAAAGGGAAAAGGAAGATGGCTGAGTGATGATCAACCATGGGGAAAGGAGACAGGCATTCTGTCTCACAGCATTCTGGCCACCTATCAGTGTGACTGAAGCATACTCGAAGGGGCAGGCTCATTTTGTGAAGTTATTGCAGCATCTTTGATCAGGGAAAAGGCACTTCTGCTTCAATCACTAGAGCTGGGATGAGCCACTGATTGGCAGTCTGGCTGCCCACCAGGCTGAGCCAGCTAGAGCCACGAACACATGGCAGTGCTTAGCATGTCACACACACAAGGGAAACTTGACAGTCTGCACTCCAGGGCATTCTCATTTAGTAAGTCAGTCTGGACTAATCTGGAAGTTCCTTTCCTTCAGCAAACACCACCTGGTCTGGCCCGGCTTTGCCAGAACAAAAGCTGGCCAGCGGCTGTCTGTCACGAGACAGCAAACACTTCAGAATGAGAAGGGCAGGGGTCAACCACTCTCATAAGCAACACACTCAGGACTACATAAGGCTTCAGAAAGGAGAAAACAGCTGCTTCAACTTTGCCCTCCTCCCTATCACCTTTCCTCTGCAGGTCTCAGCCCAGAACTAACCAGAGAAAGGTCTTATTTCTTCCCTGGGGATAAGGATGCTCAAATGCACTTTCAAATATATACAAAGGTCACCGCATTCTTTTTACTAGAATAAACAGTAAATTAAAATTCAGGAGGGAAGGCTCATCAATTTCCAAACTTGGGAAGTTTCAACCAGAGGCTTTGGGTTTTCTTTTTCCTCTTAAGTGGTGTCATCTATAAGATCTTAGAAAGATCTGAGTAGATGAAAATCCTGATGATACTGATAAATACGTTTCAAGTGTTCTACGTGTGTTAGCTCATTCAGTCCTCATCACAGTCTGACAAGGGAAGTTAAAATAGTAACCACTAATAATAGTAATATATAATGCATAAGAGTAATAACATATATAGCATAATAATAATTATCACATATGCATAACATAATAATCATGGACATCATTATCTCTACTTTTCAGATAAGAAATTATGACCCAAACTATGCTAGCTTGGTGACTTGCCTGTGTAGGATGTCTTTGGGCACAGGGAGTCTGGCCCCACCCAGGCACAGTACACCAACCACAGTCCTAAACTGCATCCTAATAACATACACCTCAGAGCCTCCTTTGAAGCTGCTGGATCAGAGAATGGCAGAGCATGGCACAGGGGAAGACTCTGTAGTGCTCTGGGCTTGAACCCAGTTCTCCACTCCATGTTGTTATGCTGCTGATGCATCCTTCATAAATAGAGATAATGATACTACCTCCAGCCTGTGCAAAGCTTTAAGCAAGAAACCAAGAAAAGCACCTCGCCCAGGGTTGATGGCCAAGGTCAGTTTATCCCTGTGCTCTCCGGTATGGCTCTCCCAGTTGGTTTCAACTGAGAACATTTAAAATGCTGAAGTCCAATCCCCACCGAATCATCCTTCTACGTTACCATCCAACAAGGAGTTAGTCTGAAATCAAGAATTCCCTAGGCCTAGCCCAAAAGTGAAACCTGAAGCCCCAAAAGTATCCACTGATCCGAAGTAGCAGAGAAGCCACCTCCCTCAGTCCTGAGAAAGTAGATCCCCCAAATGCTGCCGTACTAGATAGAGGGGTGGTAGGCACTGGGACCATCCCCAACCGAGCTAAGCTCACCCTGTCCAGTGACTCTCCCTACATTCATCATGGCAACACAGAACCTTCATGCATCTGCCAGGCATCCTGACTCATGGAAGCCTCTCAACTCCCAGCTGCCAGCTGTACAAGAGGGGGCAGTCTAGAAGCTTCCTGAAGGAGCACCTTATTGTCCCACTGCTGCTATCTTCCTCAAATAGTCTGCCAATGTCAATAGAGTCTGCATTACTTTTACACAAAGCACTAACCAGAAGACCAAACAAGAGAGGTGGGACTGAGAAAAAAAGAGATTTGAAAATCCCAGTGCATATACACATGTGCTCACACACATTCTGGAAGCCATGGTACGTTTTGTGCTCAAAGAGGGCTCTGCTTCATTCAAGGACAGAGTACACAACTGGGGAGTGTGGAGAGGTAGCAATAAACAGTGAAGGGTATAAGGGGTTGCCTGTGGAAACTGGCAGGGACAAGAGAAAAAAGTCAGCCCACATTTGACAGAGGAGAAAAACGCAGGTTTGGCCACAGAGGAGACGGCCAGCAGGGAGGATGGGGACCAAGCCATGCCAGTTTTCTGGCTGGGACTTCCATGCATCTTGTCAGGGCCCGCTGCCAGTTGGCAAAGAGTAACATGGAGGGCTCAGAAGAGGAGACAGTGCAGAGGGGAGTTGAAGAACCTCTCAGTCAGCCAGTTCCCAGAAAGTGAAGGTGCCAAATGGTCCTAAGTACTCTCTGGACACCTCCCCATCTGCCTCAGTCCAGCAATCCACCCAAGAAAACTGTCTGAGGCCTCACCTGTGTAAAGGAGCCATCCTCACCACACTCAGGGACAAACACAGCCTCCTGAGGCTTCTTGGCCTGCTCCAGGGCTTGAGCCCGCTCCAGGCGACACTTGCTCTGGCCAGCATCTAAACGGGAGAGGAGCACATTGCATGTTTCACTTGGAGTCTACACAGAAGTCAGGGCACAAAATGGCTGCCATGTGGCAGGAATGCCAAGAGCAACTCTGCCCAGGGGGGAACCAGAGCTTGTCGAACAATGAGAGGTCAGTGGCTAGGGACAGCTGCTCGGCCTCATCTTCCTCTTAACGCAATACTTTGAAAAGTAGAGGAGAATCATGTTTATACAAGGTTTCGGTTATTTTTTTTCTCCCAGATGTTGTTTCGCTCATTCAGGGAAAAAAAAAAAAAAAAAAAAACTATTCTTTTCTCAGGTTTTTCTAAAACTAATAAGCCCAGGGGCTCTCAAAGATGTTTTAAAGTTCAAGAATTACAAGCACAGTATGATGGCACACACCTTTAATACCTAATACTGACACGAGGAAGGCTGAGACAGAAAGAGTATAGCCTGCCAGGGGTACACAGTATCAGGCCAGACTAAGCTACACAGTGAGTACCAGGGCAGCCAGGGGCTACACAGTGAGTACCAGGCCATCCAAGCCTACATAGTAACTACTAGGCCAGCCTGGACTACATAGTGGACCAGGCCGGCTTGGGCTATACAACAACACTAACGCTTTCTTCAGAGAATCACAGGGTCTGTGGTAGCCTATTTAGCCTCCTGTAATTTCTGTGATGGCCCTAGGCAATCAAGAGTCACAAACACGATATCTACAGGACTCAGGAAAGCAATATGAATTATGTTTGAGAAGAGTCGCATTCAATGTCCAGAGGCCAGAGGGAGTGCTGGGAATTGTGGCAAACCGGAAAGCAAGCTTCCCTTTGGGGGTAGAAGTTCCTCAGCTCCAGCCGCGTGTTGCTTTGTACAAATACAGCCCTGATAGCGTCAGAACTCCCAATTTTAGAAGAGGGGGACAAAAAGCCACATTTTTATTGCTGTTGTTGAATCTCTCCGATTTTAAATGTTGTCTCAAATATTTTCAATGTTTTAGAGCAGATGAAACAAAACTCATCTGTGAGGCAACAATTTGGAATCCCTATTCAGGAGCCAGCCATAATGTACTGTGTCTCCATTTTGAGACAAAACCACAAGCTAAGAGACACTGGCCAGAGAGCCCCTCAGCCCTCTCTGGTGGTAGTGTCTGAGGGAGGGAAAGGAAGGGAGCAGTCTTCCTTCCCTCATATCCTGGTGGAAGGGGTAAGGAGACAAAAAAAATCAAACCAAATGGCCAGAAGCATGCAAGTTTCATCACTGACTACACAGTGCAGGAGCTGCAGTCCCAGCAACCTCTACTGGGCTAAGTGCAGGTGCACACTCACCTTTGCATCTACCTCGGTGAACCACGCCCAGGGTTGGGTCTCGGCACTTGGCTCGCTGGTACTCACACATGGTCTCATAGGACCTGCCATCCGAGGCACAGAGGGGTTTGGGTTGCGTCCTGGAGCAGTGGAGGTTGCACTGAGGGTCACGGTCACTTATTAGAAACTACATTGGGAGAAAAAGAGAGGGGCACATTGGTTATTTTTGCATGAAAAATAGGGAGAAAGCCATAGCTTACATACTGACTTTCCCTTGGTAAATAAATCTCAAATAAACTCAAACTTACAAAACCCTAGAGAGAAAGGAACCAAGCAGACACCAAGTCCAACCAAGGAAGACTTCTTCTGTACATCCTAAGGATAGTAAGGTCCATATACTGACTACGAACAGGCTGTGCTTGGGGCTCCACACACAGGATCCCATCAGTCACCATAATTACCTTGCAAATCAGAACCACTGATTCTGTAGATAAAGATACAAAAGCCCAGAGAGCTGTGACTGGACCAGCATCGCACCATGAGGACTAGAAGTTGCACCAAGCCTAGATCTTTGGGAAATAAAATCATGGCTTTAGACCCAGGTGTGGTGGCCGAAGTCTTTAGTCAGCATTCAGGAGGCAGAGGTGGGAGGGTCTCTGTGAGGTCAAGGTCAGCCTGGTCTACATAGTAAGTTTCAGGTCAGCTGGGCTACAGGGAGGCTATCTGAAAAACACACACACACACACACACACACACAAAGGCTTTAATCTCTAAGACATTTGTTCCTCTCCACCCATACAGACAGTCATACAACCTCTGTTTGGACCTCCTCAAATCAAGAACTCATTCTGTTTCCAAATTCTACCTGGAAAGTTTGATTTGTTAGATAATAGCATTGAACCCCAAATCCATCACCTTTTCATTCTGCCCACTGCTCTCTAACAGAATACAAGGTAAGTGAGTTTCTGTGAGAATGGTATTTCCTGATTTCAAAAATAGCAATAATAACCAGCTTGGGAAATGCTGAGTTCAACAGAAATCTTTAGGATAGGAATTCTCAGACACCTTTGATAAACCTGTGTGTGGTGTAACTCTCCAAGAAGTAGAGTGAATTAAAGATAGCTGCAAACTATTTGCCACTTCTGCTGAGCTACAGAGTCAAATCTAAAGCTGGCCTGGTCTTGATAACTTGCTTGACCAGTTAAAGGCTGTTGAAGTATGTTCTGCACTAGGTCACACAGCTTCCGGCAGAATTCACTCTATGGTCTGCATGGTTGGAAAGCACGTGGAGAAAAAGATGCCTGGTCAGCCTAGGCCCAGAAAATGTAAATGAGGAGGCCTTTTGATACGTCTGACCCAGCTCTCAACTGACTACAACTATCATGAGTCATTCCATGAGAAAACCATCAGCTGAGCCCAGTCCTGAACTACCAAACTGGACTGAGTCATGGTAATCCATTGTTCTATGGTTATTTATCATACAGGAATCTGTAGCACGATTAAGGAACATGTTTGATGATGCATCTTTTGAGTTTATCAAATCATGGACCCCTTTGTCAGTGAACAACTGTTAACAACTATAGGATGCAGGTATAATTAACAAATACAACCTATAAGCTTCTGTCCAGTGTCCCATGTTGAGACTGGCTGGGCCTGGAGAGTAGGATCCATACAGCAGAGCCCTGGGCATGCTGTAAGCTCCTCAGTAGGATTGGAGGGAGTGATGCCTGGTAATGTCATGAGCACACATATGGCTGACTGCATAATCACACAAAACTCACAGACATGGGAAGGTCTGCCTCACATGTACCATAGTCCCATAATGTGAACCTTTCCCAAAACCACAGAAAGGGGGTGCTAGAAACATCTGACCACCACCCACATTTGAAGAGCCCCAGAGTGTCCATTATTCCACAGGGCACAGTCCAGCTGCAAAGCCAATCCCTCCCCTGCACCAGGGCTGGCCACCCAGCACAGAGAAGTGGCAGTGAGGGTGGACAGTGAAATGGGGGCTCTCTGATGCCCTTAGCCCCCAAATGGCTTAGGGTAAGCCTAAGTCCTGCCAAAGTCCAAACAGCATTGGACAGAGTCTAGTGTTCTCAGGCAAAAAGAAATAAAACTAGGAAGCTGTATTCACAAGAAGCCCACCTTCTCCCACTTGCCACAATGAGGGTAGGTTAATGGGAACTGAAGGAGAGAGCAGCAACACCTACATGCCAACAGAATCCCTGCTTAAAACCCTTGAGGGCTAGCCCATCACCCTTGGGTCAGCCCAGAGGTGTTCCAGACTAGCAGAATCAGGCCCCATCCTGACCTCAACTCTGACATCTCTGTGCCTATTGCTTACAGTTGGTTAACACACAGCCACTGCTCCTCCTCCACCTCCTCCCACCCTGCTATGAATTTGGGCTCTCACCTCTTTGAGGAGACTTCTCTGACTCACAGGTAAGGACAGTCCTATAATGATCTCTCACAACTCATGCTTCCTATATGGCTTGTAGTGGTCTGAGACAAATTTATTTGTGTGAATTGATTGACAATGGACTACACAACTTTGAGCTCAAAGACAATAATAGTTAGGTCTATTTTGCTTATTAACAGATCTGAGCATCTAGCACAATGCTGGGCCACTTGGCTATTTGCAGAATTAATATATCCATTTAGTAGCATTTCCCACATGGCATTACCTCAGAACTCACAGTTGTGTAATGACAGCCCTGGCCTCCCCTCCCTGGCTCCCACCACTGCAGGGGATTCCTAAGTCCACTTCTTTCTCCAGTGCTCTGAGTCCTGACTTTCTCAAGCCAGGTCCTCCCCTCTGCAGTGGGCAGAGGTGGCCCAGAGCTCCCTGTCCTGATGTCACCCTAGAACAAGAAAGCTCTAAGTGGACCTGAAGAACCTTGTGGGCAGGGCTGTCTTATCTTCTCAGGATTTGAAGCAGGCTTTTATTGAGCAGCTTCTGGCCTGAACTCATGTTGCATCAGGATCAGTGTTTCAGCTTGCTATGCTAGTCCATAGCAAGGAAAGGCAGTGCGGCCTGGAAGTTGGCAGCATGAAGCCAGACATGGGCATGGATCCCAGAAGACACACACATACACACACACACACACACACACACACACACACACACACACACATACATTTGAGTTGCCTATATTTGGGGGTTGGGGAAGCCTTAGTTTTTCTCATCAGCAAAATGCAGATACTAACATACCCTGCCTTGTAGTGTTATTGTGAAGATTAAATCATTTAACATAGCAAAAGTTGTATGTAAATTCTTACTGGTCTCCTTTCTTTGGAATTTAAAAAGTGTGGTTTTCTTTTTAAGAGAACACACCAAAGGAGAAACAAATGTTTCTTTTTAAACCTTGTCTGCTCTGCAGCTCAGGGAAAAGAACAGCTGCAGGCATCACTGTGGCATTGAACTACTGGCCATAAATTCAGTTTGGAAATGGCTTGTTCTGAGTCAAAAGAGATTCATGGCAGCTGTGCCAGAGACCAGCATAACAAGGGGAGCACTCTGTCTACAAACACACAGGTTACAGACCTCAGAGCCCCACCTTCTTCAACCCACAGAGATGGTCTCAACTTCAGATGAGCTCCCAAAAGATTCCTGTCTCAAATTTACTGGCCCCTGGAGTGCTATAAAAAGTTCAGAGCCAGCACAGGGCCAATGCTAAAGACCACCTTCAATCAACTGTGGACCTTTGTTTTTCATGTGTTTGGAGAACTGTGTGTATTTGTGATTGCTTTCAAAAACAGGCTGAGCTCTATAAAACAGGGCTTTAATAGGGTGACTACATCCTCACAGAAGAGATTACTCTGCATCCACAAACAGAGAACAAGGTGATCCGCCAGTCTGCTCATCACTCATCTACTCTGCAGCCAGGTAGCTTGGGGGTGACCACAGTACAGGAAGCCATACATCCAGCATGGTCCCTGCCCACAGTGAGTTTCTTCTCTAGAGTGAGGTACCAGGCAAGTGGTTACCACACAGCATGTTAACAGAAAAACATAGAGAAAATGCAGGAGGATGTGATCCTGGGGACCCTGCAATGCCACACAATTCCAAAGAACTTTCTACAATGATGGAATGCTGTGTCTGTTCTGTTCCATATAGTAACCACAAAACATAGATGGCTACTAAGCACTGAAATATAGCAAATGCAACTGAGGACCCAAATATTCAGTTGTGTTTAATTTTAAATGACTACATGTGACTAGTGGCTACCATGTTCAACTGCCTAGCCATGAAGTAAATAAACCAAGAGGGGAGGGAGGATGGCCTTAACTAAGTCCTTGTTTGTTGTTTGTGTTTTTAGAAGCAGAGTCTGTCTATGTCACCCAGGCTGACCTTGACCTTGCATTATCCCTGCTTTAGCCTCCCAAGCTTGAAGCTGAGTTTTTAACAGTTGAGTAGGACTAAGGCTGGTCAGACTAAAGGGGAAAAAAGATGTTGAGAATAATTTCTGCATTCTGAAACTAGACAGCAAATCAATCCATTCCTTATGGATGGATCAATAGCCAGGATATCCCTAGAGTTTGTCATAGTCCAAATGAAGTCACGAAGGTGACTTTTTCCTCTCGTCTTACAGGCTGGAATCCTGGAATCAAGGCATGCTAATGATCAGATCTCTTGGCACACAGATACAACCCAAAAGAATTGGAGCAACAATGATAGGCAAGAATTTTTGGTGATAGGCAAGGCTAAGTATTCTCCCTGACAAGTCAAACACTGAGCCATTTCCCTCCAGGAAGGAAACTATTTTCATAAAAACACTCCTTCCTAACCAAGAGACAACAAAAGCAAAATCATAATAATGTTAACTCTGATTGAATAATATAGAAACCAAACAAAAGGGGCCAGGACAATTGTGCAGCTGGAATTGTCTTCCCCTCCTTTCTCCTTGGGGACAGATAACTTTAAACATCTTGCATTGCGCTTATTTTGCAAAGTGGGACAGACACTTAACATGCATATAAACAAACCATCTTTCCTATTAGAAAAGTAAGTTACTCACCAGGGGCTTCCGCTGCCATAGGGAAGATGAAGGTAGACAAAAATCAATGTTAGACCAATAATCCCTTCCACCTGAAATACACACACTGGTCCCTGCCCTTCAGTCCCCAGTAGAGCAGAATGAAAACCCTACCTCAGCCTTTTCTCAGAGAGACCACCCAATACCG